GGACAAGGTTCCTGTTCCAAAACCCGTCAAATACTGAATGTGATGAGTTTTGAAGCAGTTGAGTGTCAGGGTCTGAGTGCAATAAGTAAGTAAATAATTAATAACTATCCCATGAAGGTAGAGAAGGTCCAGGGACCCTGCTTTGGGGCGCATTGTTCTGACCCAGGCTTCGTAAAACGCAATTATGCACAGACTTATTTTAAAAACAAGACCTATTTTATTGCAACGCTGGGAATTGTTTTCATTCCCAGCTGGAATTAATCTCAAACTGTCCCCCCGAGATAAGCACCCACCTTTCAGTGCTGTGGAACGCTGCCAAAAAGAAGAAGTATCCAATTAACTGGAAAAGAAACCAACCAAAGTACAAGAAAAGCCAACCGAAGTATAAAGAGTTTCAAGGATGACTTGGAACCGACGGAACGACTTTGCTTCCTGCAAAAGTTTTTGCATCTTGGCCTGACTTTTTTATACCTTATGGGAGGGGCAGTCACCTCCTAGCCTTACTCCTGAGTCGCCCCTTTTGTCTCAGCTGCTCCCGCCTTCCAGCGGCTCTGCGCACACGCGCACTTGGAACAGGCTCCCTCTGCTCCTCTGCCTTGCTGCTGCCAGACTCTGGAGGCTCCAGAGGCAGCCCCCCCCCCCCCCTCCCAGATGGTCCTGGCCCCACCTCTGCCTCGGATGCAGGGCCCTCGTCCGAGTCCTCCCCAGACTGGTCCCCGTTCTTTCCCACTGTCTGACTCTGCTGCCATCTGCACCGGCTGCCAGCGAACCACAACACGCATCCCCCCCTCAGGCCCTTTGTCCACAAAGTGTCCACTCTGTGCCACACTGGTGTGGCTGAAACCGTGGAGGTCACCATCACCAGGTGCATCATCTAGGTGTCTGCAGCAAATCTGACTCCATTGGAAAGAGAGAGCAGAATCACAGAGTTGGAAGGGACCTTGGAGGTCTTCTAGTCCAACCCCCTCCTCCTCAAGCAGGAGAGCCTACCTCAGGGGTGTCCAACCTTTGAACTTTTGAAGACCGGTGGACTTCAACTTCCAGAATTCCCCAGACAGCATGAGAGTTGAAGTCCACCGGTCTTAAAAAGTTCAAAGGTTGGACACCCCTGAGGTAGGCTCTCCTGCTTCAGCAGGGGGTTGGACTAGAAGACCTTCGAGGTCCCCTGCCCTACAACATTCCAGACCAACGGCTGCCTAAGTCTCTTAAAAGAGTTTTTTTAAAAAATTGCGCTCTTGGAAACAGAGGCTTTTATTCAGGATTTCTGACAAAGGGGTGGGCCAAAGCAGGGGATGGATTCTACCTGGTTGGACAGGTTATGGAGAACCAGTTGTTACGACTCTGCGCAGTTTGGAGAACCGGCACATGGTGCCGGCTGGCTGGCCCCTCCTCTCCCCACCTGTCGGATTTCTTGCTTTCTAGCTAATCTAAATTGCTGTTGTACCGCTTTGCCTTCACCCCAGGAGGCTTCCCCGAGCCCCAGTAGGGGTGGTATTCAAGGAGGGGTGGGTGGGGGGGGGGGAGAGAGAGAAGTGGCCTGAGCGCAGAGCTGAACCTTCCTTAGGACCGAAGCTTCTATTATTTTTCAGTGCAGACTCAGGCAGCAGATGGCAGAAAGGTAGATCTCCGAGTGAATCTGTGATTCTGCGAGCAACTCCATCTGCCTGCCTGCTTTGCCTGATTTTGGGTGAAAGCTGCTCTTTTTTAAAATAAAAAAATCAATATTTACTTACATGGTGTGTTGTGAGTTAATTTTGTGAGTTTACTTGCAAGCAAATTTTATGTGACAGACTCAGATAGCAGATGGCAGAAAGGTAGATCTCTGAATGAATCTGTGATTCTGCGAGCAACTCTGCCTGCCTGCCTGCTTTTGGGTAAAAGTTGTTCCTTTTTAAAATAAAAAATCCAATATTTACATAAATATTTATAATATCTACGTACAAGCCATGCCCAGCCAGTCACATGATCACCAAGCCACACCACCAATTAGGCCACGCCCACAGAACCAGTTGTTAAGAAATTTGAATCCCACCTTTGGGCAAAAGCCCAGAGTTCCCCCCTCCCTCTGTGCTCACCTGGAGGTGGGGCTGACGAACAAAAACCATGGGCAGGGGCCACGGCAGAGCCCCCCTCCCCGACAGCCGCTGGGTGAGGAGTGAGTGCCCATGTGGCCGAGACGGGAGAGTCCGCTGCGCCCAGATCTGTAGCTAGCAGAGGCCCGATCGGCGCCTGAGTGTTCTTCTGTGGCCACGCTGTGGCAGCTTCCAGGCTGAAGCAAGAACTGGGGAGGGAGGCCAGCAGGGTGGCGACGGGCACGGCGACCTTGTGGGGGCACGAGACGGGTCCCGCAGCGTTCTCCGTTTTCACGACGGCGCCAGCCACGTGGTTGAGGAGCCCGCAAGCTGCCGGAGGAGTGGTGGGTCTCGGCCAGGGCTGCTGCCGGTGCGACAAGGACCCGCCCTGCCCACTCAGCCTGGGCGAGGCGGGCGCGGAGGCTTCGCCGTAGAAGCTGGGGCCGTTGATCTTCACCTCGGCGGTGGCGCCGAGGCCGTTCGACGTCCCGCAGGGGGAGGGTTTCTTGGGCCGGTCCGCGGAGGAGGGGTACGGGCTCTCGTCCTGCAAGGAGTTCTGAGGGGCGAGCCCCCCGGTGCAACTGGGAAGGGGGGCGCTGGGCTTGTCCGTCGCTTGGTACGGACTGGCGAGGGAGCCATCGGCTGCCAACACCGGCTTGACGTCTCCTTTCTCCACCTGCTCCGAGTCCCAGGAAAAAGGGGCCTGCTTGGCCGATAAGTGTTTGAGGATGCTGCACTGCAGGGCCACGATGCTGCACAGCCACTGAAAGAGAAAGGACGGGCGCAGGTCAGAGGTCAAGAAGGAGGGTCGAGGGTCAGCTCTGCCCCGGCCTTGGTTCGGGACGGGTTTGCTGCCCTACTTCAGGTCTGGCCGTTTGTAGAGCCGACGGGGCTTGCAAGCTGCCCAGAGAGAGCTGTAAAGTGCCACGGGGTCAGTATAAAGGTAGTCCTCGATTTACGACTAGTTGAGCCCCACATTTCTAATTTAGTTTACTTCATTGTCCTTGCACCTCGTACAGCAAAATCAAATACCATCTTCCCCGTACGTTATGACCATGAAAATAAAACACAAAAACACACATCCTTCGCATTCTATACATTGAATTGAAAGCCCCTGATATTGCATTAATATTGCACTATACAATGGAATTCAATAGAGTTACTGTCCTGGGATAGTAGCTGTTTTCAACCTATTTGTCCTTGTTTTTATTATTGTCCTGTACCGCCTGCCAGATGGTAATAGTTCCAAAAAAATGAGATGGATCTTTGAGGATGTTTTGAACTTTCTTAAGGCAGCGGGAGCTGTAAGGCTCTTCCTAAGAGGGGAGAGGGCAACCCATGATCCTCTGGGCAATGACATTAACCCTCTTGAGTGACGTCCTATCTGCCCCTATGCAACTGGCAAACCATACAGAGGTGCAGTCAGTTAAGATACTCTCTCTGGTGCAGCGTTGGAAGGTCCCCAGTAGTTTTCCATCCACTTGTTGTTTCCTGAGAAGCCTCAGGTAGTCTAATCTCTGCTGGGCCCTTTTGATCAGGGCTGCAATGTGAGGACCCCCAGGTCAGGTCCTCTTTTAGGGTAACACCCAGAAACTTAAAACTGGCCACTTGCTCCCCTCAGTCTCCATGGATAAGCAAGGGCTGGAGGTCTGATCTGTCCCTTCTATAGTCCACTATAAGCTCCTTGGTCTTATTGGTGTTGAGGACCAAGTTATTGTCTCCACACCACGAAAGCAACAGTTGGTCCACCTCATCTCGGTAGGCAGACTCACCCCTCCACCCCCGGAGATGAGTCCCACCACTGTCGTATCCTCTGCAAATTTAGCAATAGTATTACTAGCGTGAGTGGGAATGCAGTCATGCCCATAAAAGAGTATAGAGTAAGCGATTCAACACGCAACTCTGTGGTGTACCCAGTGTTAAGAATAAGGAGCTGAAGAGGTACGATTAATCTGTGAGCAGCCAGACAGGAAATCCATAATCCAAAGGATTAAAGAAGGCTTTCTTATTTAATCTAAATGAGAAAATCCAAGTCCAAAGCACTTCGGTCACTAAGCCAGGCGGTGAAGTGGAATTTGCCCTGTTTGGCAACCATTCCCGCCGCAGTTGTTAAGTGAATCCTTGCTGCTGCAAAGTTAGTGACGGGTTTGTTCAGTGAACCTGGATTCCCCGTTGACTTTGCTTGTCAGAAGGTCGCAAAAAAGGGGCGGGGGGAATCATGTGACGCCCCCCCCCCCGGGCCGTGATCACGTGACCGTGGGACTCTGCAACCGTCAGACATACGAGCCGGTTGTCAAGCGCTCGAGTTTTGATCAGGCGACCGCAGGGATGCAGGAACGGTCATTAAGTGTGGAGGGGGAAAAAACACAGTGGTGTTGTAACTTAGAACGGTCACTAAATGAATCATTGCAACTAAAGGACTGTCTCAACCAGTGATGGCGTGTCGGCACCCACAATGCAACGAGCCTCATCCACCCCCTGTGCATGTGTGCGCAACACCCCTCCCGCCCCCTTAACTGCGCCGTGCATGCGAGTGCCTCCCGGCTGATTTCTGGCCCGTTGGAGGCCTTTTTCGGCTTCCCAGAGGCTCAAGGGAAGCCTCTGCGGCCTTTGGAGGCCGAAAAACAGGCCCGTTCCGGCACTTCGGAACCAGCGTCGTCGTCTGGGATCAAGCAGGAGTCCCTTCCTGGGAGAGTGCTCCCACCCTCTTCCCAAAGCAGGCGTCACTAAATGAGGAGCCCTGCTGGCATCCGCCAAACCGGGCACGAAATTGGAAGGCGTTTCTCTCTGACCACCGCCAGAGTCTCCTCTCCTGTGGCCGAAGCTGCCACAAACCGGGCATCTGAATGCGGCATTTCCTCCTCCGGAAAGTTTTTGCACCAAGCCAAGCGCGATTTTCACTCACCGGCCTTTGGAATTCCGCTTTAAAGTCCTTTTGTTTCTTATTGCAACTGACTTACAAACATTCACTCAGTGACCGCCCGAAGTGAAAACAGCAGTGAAGAGAGTGACTTATGACCCGTTTTCACACTTACGGCCGTTGCTGCAGTACGAACACCGGCTATAAGTCACGCAAGTCCAAAAATTGGTCACAACGATCAAAATCCAGTCGCAAAATTGGTCACAATGATCAAACCCCGGAACTTGGGCCACTGGCATGGACTTAGGATGGTGGCAGGGCCCCAGGGTTACGTGACCAAACCAAAGTCAACGGGGAAGCCACTTAGCAACCATGTCAGTAATTCACTTCAACTGATTTGCTTAACCGCCGTGTCAAGAAACGTCGTAAAAGTTAAACCGCTGTCTTGCTTAGCAGTGGAAACACTGGGCTCGATTGCGGAACTGCCCTGGTTTCCTGAAAATACGACCTACCCTGAAAGTAAGTCCTAGCTTGATTTTTTTACACATGCCCAATATAATCCCTACCCCCCGCCAAAATAAGCCCTAATTAAGACCTGCCCACTCCAGGGTGGACGGGTAAAAATTAAGCTAGGGTGGGTATAGGGGGTGGGTGGAGCTGCCCTACTACTTACCTGTGGACAGGTGAAGTCAGGCCTCGCACACCCCAACACCTGCCTTGCCTGCCCATTTCTTCTGCAGCCAGCAAGGGTTTCCTGGAGGCCTCTGGAGCTGATAGCAATGCTCTGGATCGATCCTGAGCTCTCTTATCGGTTGCAGAGGCCTTCAGACAAGTTTTCCTGGCCACAGAAGAGGAAGTTCCTGAAGGCCTCTGACAGCGAAAAGGAGGCCGGGGGGCGATGCACGCACGCACGTGAGGTTAGTCCGTGGATAGCACCCCCCGAAAATAAGACCTGGTGCCTTTTTTTTGGGTGGCAAAAAAAATGATGATAAGACAGGGTCTTGTTTTCCGGGGAACACGGTCCCTACATTCCAAATCCACTCCGTGGTTCCTTTTTTGCCCTTCTAGCAGCCTCTCCCCCTACACACAATCGCCGAGGGCAAGGAGATGGGCTAACTGGCCCCGGATTTTCTGAGGGTGCTGGAAGGGCCCCAGCTTGCCCTGTTGCCTCAACTCTGAGACCCGGAGGAAGGGGGCGTCTGACGCAGCCTGGTAGGAGGGTGACCCCCTCCCTCCTGCCCAATCTGCAACACACACACACACACACCCCCAAAAAAAAACAACCCCCACCCACGTTTACCTCTTGCTGTTCCGACTGGGCGGCTAAGTGCTGGGAAGGGCTGCTGGCGGTCTTCTGCAGAGACTCCTCGGAGAAGCCGTTGCAAATCAGCTCCCCGTCCCGGATGGCCGCGGGCGCCATTAATGCTGGTGGGATCCGATACTGGGACTTGATGGCCTCCGGGACCTACGGGCAAAAGAGAAGCGGAGAGGAGGGAAGCTGGCACGGCTCCTGGAGGGCCGCCCTTCCGAGTGGCAAGGCTGCCCCCTCTTGGCAGAAGACGGGCGTTGCAAGTGAGCCCCACGAGGACTGCTGGGGGCGGTCGAGGCCGGGGGGGCCACCTCATCATCGCTTCAGCCTTGAGGGCAGCCTGCCATAAAAAATTGGGGGGGGGG